AGGAAGTGAAGAAGGGAGGCAGTGCTGCCAACTTTCATTTATCATAAGTCTCATGATATTTGATGTTGCTCTTAAAGTCCCAGACTCTGGAGTCAGGTGATTATGTAAGAATCTCAGGTTTCATTTAAAAAATGAAGCGTTTCTAGACTGGAGATTTTTCAAAAGTGCCCAAATCCCTTAAAGAAATCTTACCGAAAGTCAGTGAGACTTGTGATCCTAAATTGCTTGGGTGCTTTTGAAAATCTCCTGCCTGGCTCTCACGGTTGAGGACAAAGGAAAGCTAAAGGCTCAAAAAGCAGATGGCACATGAGAAGAATCAAAATTACTTGGGGCAGGCAAGATTGGCTTGGGGGAGGGGGGGAACTAATAGCCAGTGAAGTATCAGAGGGGTAGTCGTGTTAGTCTGAATCTGTAAAAAGGTCCTGTGGCACCTTTAAGACTAACAGAAGTATTGGGAGCATAAGCTTTCATGGGTAAGAACCTCACTCCTTCAGATGCAAGTAATGGAAATTTCCAGAGGCAGGTATAAATCAGTATGGAGATAACAAGGTTAGTTCAATCAGGGAGAGTGAGGTGCTCTGCTAGCAGTTGAGGTGTGAACACCAAGGTAGGAGAAACTGCTTCTGTAGTTGGATAGCCATTCACAGTCTTTGTTTAATCCTGATCTGATGGTGTCAAATTTGCAAAAGAACTGGAGCTCAGCAGTTTCTCTTTGGAGTCTGGTCCTGAAGTTTTTTTGCTGTAAGATGGCTACCTTTACATCTGCTATTGTGTGGCCAGGGAGGTTGAAGTGTTCTCCTACAGGTTTTTGTATATTGCCATTCCTGATATATGACTTGTGTCCATTTATCCTCTTGCGTAGTGACTGTCCAGTTTGGCCAATGTATAGCCAGTGAGGTGGTCTCAATCCACCAGCAAGTTGACTGGACTCACCAACTCTACAGGTAAAGGCTGTCTTACAGGAGAACCTCAGTAAGGCCCAGGAATCTCAATGAATGTCAATTCCACCTGTCAATTCCTCCAGACTGTTCTTTCAAGAGGTCTTCACCTTCTTGAAGCTCCAAGAAATCTTGTGGCCCTCAGAGCTTAGGGCTGGGGCATTTGCACAGAGGCCCAGTTTCTTAGGAGTCATGTTCCAATGGCTCTCTTTAGGGCAGCTGCCCAAAAATTGCTCCTCAAAGGATAGTCCAATGTGAGGAGAGGAAACCCAGGGTAAATTCAGGAGGGCAAAGTCAGCAATATCTTACACTGCACACTCTCCGCAGGTTGAAGGTGGAATGATGCTGTGAAGGGCCCCTATCCTCTCCCACATCCTTTTCTCCTCAGCCCTGTTCCCAGATCAAACTGCCAGCAGAGGCTGCCAGGCAGCTGAGAACCACTGCTGCTCCCATTCCATGAAGGGCCTTTTTTCAGTTCCTTCTTTTCCCCACCTACCCTGGGCTGGTTGTTTGGGGGTTTTTTTCAGTTTTTTTTTTAAAGGGTCGGGGGGGGTTGGGGATTTGGCCTTGCAGAATGGAGGAGAATAGCATCTTGGTGTTGCTCTTTTATTGCATTTTCAATACACATGAAGAGTCTGATTCTGACCCCACTCCCTCTGATGTAAATCTGACTTCAATGGAGTTAGGTAGGTATAAAACTGGTGAGACAAGCGAATCAGGATCTGTATTAGCATGTGGCAGAAATTGCAGCTTTACAAGGAACAAAGAAAGGGTTGCTAAAAGGCTAGCTATTCAAAAGCTATTCAAAGGAAGAAGTGTGAATACCATTTAAATGAGGCCCTCTCCCACCCCCAGTCTATTTTCCAGCAGCATTGCCTATACAGCAAAGAAATCAGAGCTCAAGGACACACCGGTTTTGCAAACACGAAAGCTGGATTTTTGTGGCTGTACTTTTTTCATGTGCAGACTTTAGGATTATTGTTGTTGTGCCTTCTCCCCTCCCGCCCATCCCCATTTCCTGGAGATCAGCCAGCAGGGAAATCCTCTAAGGGGGTGGATGAGAGACAAAGTCTGCAGCCCTGCTCAACCAGGAAGAGCTCCACCTCAAACAAAGCAAACAATAACAACCTCCCTTGCCTCGCTCGCTCTCCCAGTCTTGTGTCTCTTCTCTTTGTGTACGCACCAACCATGAGGCTGCCTACGGCTGGCCCCAGCACTGGCCAGACCTGTGGGCTTGTGCTGATCTCCGCTGTGCTGCTGCAATCCATTTGCGTGGCGATTACTTTCCTTTACTTCACTAATGAGCTGAAACAGGTAAGTACCAGAGCGGTGATCTAGGCACTGCTCAATCTGCAGGCTGATTTGGCCAGCCTACAGGCAGTTCCTCATTCTCTCTCTGTAAATCTAGTCAAGAAAAACAAACGCATCGTGTGTGCCCTTGTCCTGTTCAAAGGAAGGTTGTATGGGTTCCTGCACGAGTGATCCTGTTCCCGCTGACGGTAGTGGCAAAACTCCCAGTGTTTGCAGGGAGCAGGATTGGGCCCTAGGTGAACTGTAGTTTGGCAATGTTTATTGTAGCAGGAAAGCCTTGGAGATCCAGCGCTTTTGCTTTCATTGTAGGAGAAGTGGGTTAGGCTGGCTTTGTTTGTTTTGCTGGTTGGCTGGGTTTGTTTGCTTTTATGCAGAACACGAAGGTCACGAAAGGAGAAGTTTTTAAAACTCACCTTAGACTTCTATTTTTTTCCCCCGAAACAGAAACGCGCATTTCATTGATGTTCCAAAGTTGCTCTTTCTTCACTCCAATTTGTGCCTTGTCAGCACTGCTGGGACATTCGTAGTGCTAGGGGCTAGAAGGAGAGTCAGCTTTCTCACCCGAATAGTCACACACGCTTAAAAAAAAACCCAACGACAATACTTTGTTTTCAGACAGTGACTAATCCTGATAGAATTTCAGGCAGACACAAGCTAATCATTGCCCCCCACGCAGAGAGCTGGGGAATGTCTGTGGGGCTGTGCCTTCCACTCCCTGCAACCAAAGGTTCATATCCTGGAAGCATCGGCTCAGCCATTTATCTTTTCTTAAGTAAGTAACTGAAGTTCCATGCAACGTTTGGCTGGGTGACTTTTGCACAAGACTTTAAAACCCATGGTCCTATATGGACATTCATGACCCATGGCAGTTCTGTAGGGGTAGTGGGTTTGTCTAGGTGTCCATCCACGTTTCCTATCCTACCATCCCTACTATAGTGTGCTGTCCATCTGGGTGCTCTCCCTAGCTCCAGAGGTGGCTGCACACAAGCAGCATTGTAGGTATATCGTTTCTGTAGGGTTTTGAGATCCTTGCATTTGCAAGGTGCTGTATAAATATAAAATACTATTGCAACCCTTGAATTTACCACCTGCAAAATTGAGTAGTACTCTACTCACAGTTTCTTTTGAGATGGCTAAATCAGATGGTTTGGGAAATTCTTATCAGATGATTTGCACCACTCTACAATCAATACCAGACTTCTTGAGTGTATAAAACTGGGGACCTGTCTGCTGAGTTTGTTGCTCTGATAGCTTCATACCTGGTGAGATTAGGAATCTACAGAAACATCACATTTGTCTTAAGAAAATAGGTTACACTGTACTGGCGATAAGAAAGAAATGTACGCAAAATTGTTTCAACCCTCATATACTTGGTTCAAAGTTCTTTGTTATCAAACTTTTGAACATGAGCAATTAGTAACCACAGCACCTTCTCCTAGTTGCTTTGCCTCCAAATATGTATGGTTTGAACTTTTGAAAGAGTACTCTACTATTCTGAATAAACCACATCCAACAATTCTTACCTCAGATATAGCTCTTATTATTGCAGGAGAATAACCCTTTTGTGGTGTGAAGGCTAACTCCAGTACTTTGAAGGGAATTTCTGTTGGATTGAAAATAGCCCAGGTATCTGCATAATATTATATGGTGTCTCTACTACACATGTCCTTTTTGTTCTCCTGCACACAGATGTTAGGACTGCAAATACAGTTTGTTACCTTAATTGTACATGTGGTTTATGGTTAGTGATATTTATCTGTGAGCCTGGTCCCTCTTTTCCCTTCTTTTTGCTGTTTCATAGTATCTGTATTTCGAGACTTCTGTCAAATAATCATCACTGGCCAGGTGTCAGATCCTTTCAGCTGTCAGTACAAATAAAAAATCTTATTTAATGCTAGGTAATTTTTCTCAATCTACATGGATAGTCATCTGATTAGCTAAATGTAACCATCTGATGATCATAAGATGGATAAAGCTTTTTGAACAGCCTAGTTTGGCTTATGGGAGGGGAGTGCTGAAAAGCAGTGACTTAGCCCTAGGATGCACTGTAGAGTTAATTACACATCCAGGATATAGGACAGTGAAGAAAACAGACTTCATTGACTTTAAAAGCATAATCCAAATGTTGCCCTTAGATGATGGGTGAAGTTGAAGAAATATTTCACTAATAATACTCCACTTAACATTTCTGTGGCACCTTCCCTCCCTGGATCTCAAAGTGCTGTACAAATATCATTTGATTAAGCCTCATAATGCCCTGCGCCTCCATTTCCTTAACCTCTAAAATGGGGATAATACTACTTCCCTGCCACACTCATGTTTGCAGAGTGCATTAAACGCTGCAGATGCAAGATGCTGCAGCAATACCAGGTACTAGTACAGTAAAGTTATCTCAGGGACTAGGCGTGTGACAAGTAAGCAAAAAGCAGAAATGGCAGTACTGTTTGCTTTCAGATTGAAGAGAAAAGTTTTGAAGTGCCCTCTCCTTTCCTGGTCCCTAGATCTGGTAGAAGAGTGGCCTGGTAAGGGCTGGTCTACATACAGGTTTGGTACCAATTTAATTATATTGGTTTAAAAACCAACCCCTTAGCATGGATGCAGTTACACTAGTATAAAGGTGCTTATATCTATATAGCTTATTTCCACCGATTTAAGTAAAGTTCCCAAAGTAAGAAGCCTTATATTAAAAATACTACCCTATTCTGCAGTAATGGTCCAAAAGCCTGTGGGGATACTCCTGTCAGTCAGAGCATTTTGCATCAATGATTATAGAATAGGGTAGTATTTTTAAACATAAGAGAATTCTCTGTAAATGTTTCTGCACGAAGGTCTGGAGCTTGAGGTTAAGTGAGGTAAGATTTGCAGGGTCAGATGGGTGAATTCTCTCCATCCTGCTCCAGCGGGAAATCTATGGCTTGCCTCCTTTGTTTTCAAGCAGACAGAAAAGGATGGGAATGGTGGGGGGAGGGGTAGAGAACAGTCCCCCTGTTCTCTGATGCTGAATGTTCCAAGCTTGAAGGATAGTTGAAACTGTGACATGTTAAGTAAATTAACTTCCAGAGGCAGCAGATTAACAAACAAACCAAAAAAAAATATCCTTTACGATAGGAATGGTTGAATTTAAACTATTAAATCAAGAAGAAGAAGCCGGTCTGAATGCTTTGTATGTTCACTCGTTTCTTTCCTTTCCAAACTTTACTGGCATACAGGTCTTAACAGGGGTTTTGGATGATGATGAACCATTGAACTCAATGGGATCAGGAGTTCTCTCTAGGCTGCCTAGGTTACTGTGTTCTTACATTAAGCAACAAGTGCCAGCTTCAGTTTTGATAATGGGTTATCCCCTGCAGAAGTAGCAGAGCTCGAGGAAGGGTTTTGTTGTTCACTATATTCTTTACTATTTGAAACTATTTAACTACTATTTTTAAACTATAACTAGGAAAATTATTCCTGACCACAGTGAAGACATTGGGACTTTTGCCATTGACGTCAGTGGGTCCCTGATTTCACTCTTTCTCTTTACACATTAGAAGGAGGAATTCTCTCTTTAGATATATGAATGGTTTAGAGATGGGCTCCAAGTCACAAGACTCAGATGTGGAATCAGATCTGAATGCCAGCTTCCTCAAAATTCATAGGGAAGGGGTTTGAATGTGGTCTTCTGGCCCCCTTCCATTGCAGAAAATGCCCTAAGCTGCCAGGTTTGAATCTGGAGTAGAATTTGCCCAAAGTGCAGACATAGGGAGTGGGTTAGTGGCTGATGTTCAGGCTCAGTGTAGGAAGATCCCTTGTGGAAAGGAACTAAATTCTAACAATGTTAGAGCTGATAAAATAATTCTCAGCATTAGTGACGTCGGTATTGCAAGTGCATAAACTTATTCAGCTGAGTCCTGGATGTCCAGTTTATGAACATATAGAGATAAAAATGTAAGTGTATTCTTGCATATCAAGTATCTGGTTGTAGCTAAATAAGTATGTAAGGTCAGGATTAACTCTCCTTTATAAAATCATTACTTGCTGTAGCATATTGGTGTTACTTAGAACAGAAAGGGTTTCCCTAAACCCCAAGAGTTTTAGAAATGCATCATATATCTGTACATTAAGTGAATTAACTAGCTTATTGCCTTCTACCACAGCTCCAGGACACATATTCCAAGAGCGGCATTGCTTGTCTCATGGGGGAAGATCTCGGAACTTTCATAAGACATGTGGATCTAAATGAAAATGAAGAAAGAGAGAGTGACCCCTGCTGGCAAGTGAAGTGGCAACTAGGAGAGTTAATTAAAAAGGTACTTTGGAACTTTCACACAGACTAAACAATGGAGCTTGGTTATAACAATCCAGATGGTTCAGAGAGTTAAGCTCCAACTAGTGAAATAAAATGCAAATCCCAAATTGTTTCCTTGCATTTTAGTGGTCAAATCGCAATTCCAGATATAAAGGAATTCTGTTTGCAGTGAAGTTCTTCTGAGAACAAAAATTGTCATTTCACTACAAGAGTTTCACTGTATTTAGGACACAGAAAATACAGGTGACCAATTATTACTAAGTTCATCCCAAAGAGGGGTTCATCCACTGTTTGTCTAGTATGCCTACTATATAGAATGTCCTTCTCATTTGTGACAGAGCATGGAGATGTAGGGCCTGATTTTCTTTCACTCACACTAGCAAATCAGGAGTGATTCCCACTCAAGCCACAGGAAATGTAACAGGTGTGAGATCAGAATCTTGCTCACCGTCCCTGTTACCGTCCCTGTTATCGTAAAGAAAACCACTATTCACCTCCTGCCTCACAACTGTACAAAGAACAGGTATGTCATGAAGCATTGACAATTTTATTATAATCTAACCTGGAAATCTCACTCCACCATTCCCTACACAGCCTTACCCTTCAAGGTCAGGTATTCTGTGTCAACCTTTCAAAATACACACACCTACACACTAATAAATGATATAGGCATATCATTGAAACTTTTTTTTAACACTCACTTTTATCGCAAATGTAATTTTGAACAAGTTTTACTTTGAATAAGGGGTTTCCAAATTGAAAAGGATGAGAAACACTGATCTAGTAAATTAATAGTGATTTAGTTATTATACACTGATGCACTGGAGGTCAGTTTTAAATAAAATATTGGCCCAAACTGAAGTCCACGGAGTTACTCCAAATTTAACTGGTATAACTGAGGGCAGAATTTGGCTCACTATATTAACTTAGTAGGTTTCTACAATGGGAAAATTCATAAATATTTTTTTGCACCAGTGCTGTCCTGCAATTATACAACATAGTTGGAGAAAGGCCCTTCACCCTGTCTGCACTACAACTTCTAACATTGCTACCATTGGAAAGACACCTAGATTCAGAATTTCCTAGAGAAGCAACTGCTGCCTATGCATATAGTAGCTGTTTCCCAAATACATATAAACAGTATGCTAGAAAGAAAGCTGTTTGGTCAATGAAATGCAGATTAAGGTATCCCAGAGCCATTACATTCTATAATCTCAGTATTCCTTGGATAATGGCAGTGTCTCTTACATTTCCATGGAGATGACAATGCTTTTGTTGTTCTCATGGAGCTATTACAATTGAGGAGCCATCATTGCTTACTGGAAACTATTGTTATTTCAATGTATACCCTTCCCATGAGACTGGAACCATGAGTTACAGTGGAGAAATAGTAATGGCTTCAAGTGACAGAATATTTTTGCTTAATAAAGAACTAACATCAAAATTACATGAAAATAAGGTGGGATCTGATTAAAACCTCAAGAAAGCCAGGACGTTTATGAGTGAGAACTTTTCACATGAATCTTAGTTCAAGATGTTGAATGTAAGTTTGGTGATAGACTGCCTGAGAACAGGGTATGAGATTTACTACTGTAACTAAGAGTATGTCTACACTGCCCACTTTACAGCGTGGCTACGGCAGCGTTGTGACATGGGCAGCCTAGTCACGCTGTATCACCGGGGGAGAGCTCTCCAGGTGAGGGGTGGTAGCTTTATCGCCGGGAGCTACAATGCGCTGTCTATATTGGTGCTTTTCAGTGCTAAAACTTCTGTCGCTCAGGGGGGCATTTTTTCACACCCCTGAATGACTAAAGTTTTAGCACTGAAAGTGGCAGTGTAGACACAGACTAAGCCAGATATATTCCTGCCGTTATTTATATATCAATAGTTTTGCCATTGTGAAAACCGCTGGATCTAATTCTCCTCTGTTGTACCAGGGTTAATCTGGAGTAACTCCGGTGAATTATTCCACAATCAAATGTCTGCAGATCTACACTGGAGTAATTGCAAACAGAAGCTGATGCCCTGAACCCTATATTTCCTCTTATTGAGGGCCAGATTTTCCAAAGAACTTTAACACTCAATTGGATGAGCTCCATTGCAATTTGGCCCCAGATATTTAAAATTATTGCAAAACAGTTTGTTGTGAGAAATAAATGATACAGTTTCCTTTTGATGTCCGCTTTTATTTACAAATAGAAATAAAATTTGTTTGATGGTCAAATGCTGGAGTTTGTTCAGTTATGTGGTATATAAGAGCATATGGAATAGTTGTGTTTCTGGCATCTTTGTCACTGCTCTACTGATTTCCCAGAAAGAAAACAGTTTTCTTTACGTGTGTTTGCAGATGATATCAAGAAACTATGAGGAAAACATTTCATCTGCAGTGAAAGGTATTTTTAATGTATCACATTTATTTAGCACATAAAGAAACTGCGATGGTAGCAGATGTGCAGTGGTTCCATACATGTTTTCCAGTTGTCGAGAATAGTTCCTAATTTCTTACTCAGTTGTACAGTTCTTCTGCAGCAAAGCATGGGAAATGAGTAACAATTAGTATTAGTTGGTATTCTTTTAAGAGACATATTAAGCAGTCAGAAAATGTGGTCAAGTTATTAGAGCATGGAACCAGGATTCAGGAAAAGTGCCTGGCTTCGGTTCTTGTCTCTGTCTGATTCAGTGATTTTATGCAATTCATTTAACCTCTCCATGCTTCAGAGAACAAATAGTACTTTGTTGTTGTGCAGCTACATTAATTAAGGATTGGGCACAGCTCTCCTCTGAAACTAATGCAGAGCCTTACACCCCAGGAGGACTATCAGGAAGCATTCTGGCTCAAGAAGTCAGAGGAAATTTTTCTAGAGTAAAGACCACAGAATTTGGCCTTAAAAGATATTTACCCTTTCCACGAGCACATACTTATTTTTAGTATTGGGTGTTTGGGCACTGGTTTTGGGGGGGAACATACAGAAGGCTTAAAAAAGGCATTTCAAAGAGAGTATGGGAAGTTCTGAGAAATTTTGACCATATCAACCATTACACTTCAATCTCTCATTGATTTGGTCAAATAAAATATTTTGACAAACACATAAATCCTCAAATACTGTCAATTTAGTAATTAGTCACATATTTCCATGGAGATGACAATGGCTTTGTTGTTTCTCTAATTCTAATTTGAGATTTAAAATGGTTATTTCTCATCTTCATGTAACTGAACTGTCTCTAACTCTTCCAGGAACTGAAGAACAGGGATCTCAGAACCATGGACACAGAATAGCAGCTCACTTAACTGGAAGCCGCAATAAGAAGAGCTCTCTAACCACATCAAGTAAGATATTTTGCTATATTGATAAGGGAAGAAGATGGATACAAAATAGGGAAAGATCACTGAATATATATGCTTTGCGATTTTCCAGAAATGAATATTGACTGTTGATTATTCTAGGCACACTTTTCTGCTTGTTTCTCATGGACTCAATGCAATTTTTTGGCCAGAAAACAGGGAAAGCTTTAAAAAAAAATCAAAGATTTTCTAGTTTTGGTGAAAATAATTCTTCAGCGCACTCTAATAGTAGTATCAACCCCATTCAACTTGGGTATCTATGGTACACCTTCCTTCTATGTCATTAGTTGTTTTTTTAATGAAAATTCCGTCTTCGTAACTCTGTCTATCCCCTTTGCAGTATTTTTTTGGAGAAAGATATGTGTATGAGGGCCTAGAAGCTATTGTGATAGGCACATCAAAAAAAAAAAGACAGAACAGACTTGAAATTCACTCCAGATTTATTGAAGGACTTGCTAAAGTTCTCAAATCTTCTGGGGGAACCAGGGGCGAGTTAGGATTCTCACATTGTTTTGCTCATTAGCCATGTGGCAACTTGGATTCATTTTCATTCTGTATTTCAGGCAGCAGTGGGGAAGGATTCAAAGATCAAAACTAAAATGAGTCCCCACAAAGTGATGTGCCAAATTGCTACTTATGAAACTTGAAATCTATGGGCTGGACTACGCTACCATGGTAAATCGATCTAACTTAAGAAACTTCAGTTTCGTGAATAATGTAACTGAAGTCAACATTGTTAGATCCACTTACCGCGGTGGCTACACTGCGCTGTGTCGATGGGAGGGCATCTCCCATCGACTTTCTTACGCTTCTTGGGGTGTGGGAGTACTCAAGTGCTCTCCCATTGCATTGACTGCAGCAGTGCCGATCTACCAGCAAGTGGAAACATACCCTTTAAGAGAGATTGGGCCCGATCCTGTACCATCTGAGGCCAATGGATGCAGGATCTGGCCCATTGCTCTTATTTAGTTTTTGAAAAACAGTCTCATCAGCTACGAGAAGTGGACTTTGTTGCACACAGCATTATTTAGCTCTGTATTCTTCTCTATTTTTTTCTCCTCAAATAGATTCCTCATCCAGAAGAGGTGTTGGGCAGAAAATAAATACCTGGGAACCCTCAAGGAAAGACCATTCATTCCTCTATAATGTGGAGTTGAAAAATGGGGAGTTAATCATACCTAGAACCGGGTTTTATTACATCTACTCTCAAACTTACTTTCGATTCCGCGAACCTGAAAACGAGGATTCAGAATCAGATCCATTAGCACTAAGCAGAAACCCTAAGCAAATGGTCCAGTATGTTTACAAACTGACGACATATCCAGAGCCTATCCTGCTCATGAAAAGTGCAAGAACTAGCTGCTGGTCTAAAAAGGCAGAATATGGACTTTACTCCATATATCAAGGTGGAGTATTTCAGCTAAAAAGGGATGATAGAATTTTTGTCTCTGTCAGTAACGAGGACATGGTTGACATGGACAAAGAAGCAAGTTTTTTTGGAGCCTTTTTGATCAGCTAAGTGATTAACAGAAAAACAGACCCCCAAAGAAATCATTTTTTAAATTCTATAATCTAAGGTGGCAGAGGAGGGAGGAAGCCACTGTGACAATACAGTGACTTCAAAGCAATAGTGACAATGCAAGAATCCCCACTGTCAATTCATCCTGTGAAAGGATCATTTCTCAGAGCAATCAAACCTAACAGTCAATACGGAAGTGCAGCAGGTGGCTGCAGCTGCATATGACTGTGCCGTGTATAACAGCACAGCAGATCCCCAAACATGCCAGTGTTCTAGGACTTGCCAGGATTTTAACGTGTCAAAGTATTGAATAGCTTTGGCTAGGATCAGATCAAGTGGAGGCAGGCACTGTCTGCGGTTCCCCATACCAGTCTACCAAAGCATCTCAAAACCTCATTTGTGGCAGTCCCTCTGCAGGAAAGGTGGATTTGCACAGGGACTAGATCAGGGGTTGGCAACCTTTCAGAAGTGGTGTGCCGAGTCTTCATTTATTCACTAATTTAAGGTTTCACGTGCCAGTCATACATTTTAACGTTTTTAGAAGGTCTCTTTCTATAAGTCTATAATATATAACTAAACTATTGTTGTATGTAAAGTAAATAAGGTTTTTAAAATATTTAAGAAGCTTCATTTAAAATTAAATTAAAATGCAGAGCCCCCCGGTCCAGTGGCCAGGACCCGGGCAGTGTGAGTGCCACTGAAAATCAGTTCGTGTGCCGCCATCGGCACGCGTGCCATAGGTTGCCTACCCCTGGACTAGATGGAGACTATAGACTTGCATAGGGGATGAGATTGAGGTTGGAAAATGGATTTTATCATGAACGACACTATGGACCCTATCCTGCTGACTCTTTCTCCTGTGAGTAATCTTTACATGAGCAGAAGTCCCTCTGATGCCAGTTGGACTACTCTCGAGTAATAAGGTTTGCAGGATCAGGCCCTATTTTGAATCTTAGATTTCCAAAATGAAAGGCTAGCAAACAATTAAACTACAGTAGCATTTAAACACATACTTAACTTTGACATGCAAGTACTCCATTTGAAATCAATGGGCTATTCATGTGCTTAAAGTTAAACGTGCTTAAATGCTGCGTGGGATCACAGCCTGGTTATTTTTGTCTTCATTTGGATACTGTATAGATGACAGAAAAATGAAGTGGCACAGCAGAGCCATTGAAATCAATAAGTCAATATTATGAGTTCCCAGTACATTTTGATAATCCCATATCTACTTAGTTGATTAATATTGTACTGCAGAGATTTCACCACACTTACAACATGTTCAAATATGGAATCGCTCTATACTTACTGAAAATGAGTATTTGATCCAGAACCCAAGTCTTTTCCTTTAAATGTTGCATTCAGAGGACTACATTATTTGTCTCATATCAAGCATGACATGATGTGGTTCTTTCATGTTGATTGGCATGATGCCATGGGACATGATATGATGCAGAATAATTAGCTTGGATTTGAAGGAGAACATTCTCATTCCTGGAGAGGCTACATGACTATCTCTGCTTCAGCATGGGCTGATTTTAGTTAATACTGTTTAGATTTTTGTTTTATTTGCAGGGCTGTGTGGGGACTACATAGCATTTGTTTTTCTACCTGAACTAAATATTAGATTTGTTAGCTGTAAGATTAGAACTGTTTTTCAAAAGTTAAAGTTTTGTTAAGAATAAACAATATAGCCGGATCTTCAGGTAGCGTACAACAGTCAGCACCACTCCAGTGACTTTAGTGGAGCTACACCAATTTACACCAGCTACAGATCTAGCCCAGGTTCAGGGGAAAAACCATATATTTCTGAAAGAAAGAGGGAGTGAAAGGCAAGTGGGGCAAGGAAGTCGTATGGACCAAATTCTCTGCAGATGTAAATCAAAGCACATAGAATTAAGCCAGTAGAGAATGTGGCCCTATATTTTTGATATAATAAGGTTGCCTCGGGAGTCATAAAATGATGAAAGTCAGCAAACGGCCTTACTTACTTTGTCCATGGCCTACAGGAAAAGCAGGTGTACCATTCACCCTACTACCTTCTTTGTGGCCAACAGGAAATGAACGTGCATCAGTTGCCTTGTCTGTATAAATCAGAAAAGTAAGCATGCTAGTCATTCTATTTACCTTACCTATGAACAGCAAGAAGAGAATTTACAGCAATCACTTTGCTTTGACTTGTTAGAAGAAAGAAGCACATGCAGGTTGATATTCGAAACCATTATTCCAGTCTGTGTTTGCTGTTTCTATGTGGAGGAAAATATGTTAATTTCAATGGTTACCATTCTGTGAATTGCTCCACTGCTTACTGGAGAAGCCTGCTTTGCAGTGCAGTCATGTCTCAGATACATTATATATTTTTCTCAACTAGTCCTTTGAAGCATTATCTCAGAATTCTCCGACTGCACACGACAGAGTTTTTAGCTTTATTTGGTGGCTTCCTAATCTTGAATACAGTATGAATTTGCACTAGTTTCACACTGGTCCTCACTGACTTTGATTGAACTGCTCCTGATTTACAGTGGTGTAGATACTTCGGGGCTATCTAGCTAAGCAAGGCCCAGATTTTGCTGCCCTTACTTATATTACATAATACTTTAGGTCTCAGGCTTGTAATGGGAGTACTCTTAGTGCACAAAGTTAAGCCTGAGTGTAGGTGTTTGCAGGATCAAGGCCTTACTTTGCAAGTTGTTCCATTGGTTTTCAGTTGAATTGTTTGTGGAGTAAGGGCTTGACCCTGCTCCCATTCAGATCAGTGCAAAAACCTTAATGGGGCAGGACCAACCCCTTAGATATTATTCAGTGAGAGGACGGCCAGCACAATCTGATCCAATCCGATTAGGATATATACTGTTTATTTTTCACAAAACTGACTAATTTTCAAACTATATAGTTCAGTTTTTAGCTTAATACATTTTCAAAAGAAAATAATTTGCAGAGAACTTTTATCTAAATTTTCTTCCCAATTCTAATTTTTGATTCAGCTAACACAGTGCTCCTACTTAACACGGGAGGACTACAAGACTGCATTAAAGAGCTCCCTCCAGATCTAGATTCTGTCCCTGATCCTTCAAAGTCTTATATATGTGCTTCACTTTACAAACTGAGTAGTCCCATAGATTTCATTTCCTGGATTAGGCTCATATTATTTAACTCCTCAGCAACATACTCAACTACAAGCAATTAAATAAAATAATGGATTTTTTTTTAAAGTCCAGTTATTTTAGGCGCCTATTTTTTAAAAAAAATTCTTAACTGAAAGAGAATTTCAGATATATTATTTGCAGCCTAAAAGTGGAAACCATACGTATGATTAAGAAAAAGTTTATATGACATAAAGTTCTCAGGGAGACACAGATGGAAAAGGATTTGGAAGAAGCCGTAGGGGCTGTGCACAAATTCATAGCTGACAGTAACTTAAGACAGATACTACTATCTACTACACACAGATGTTTTTCATCATTTTGTCTCTGCAACTTGATATATAATAATGGGCCCAATTTTATTTAGGAAGTGCTCCCAGGCATTTCCAACCTTTTTTCTCTCCATATGTACACATTTTTATGTCACTCCATTCTGAGAGAATATATGTAGCACAACAGGGAGCAGACTGAATAATCATATTTTATTTCCCAGCAATCCAAAGACACGCTTAGCCTGGTGAAAAACTAACAAGCAAAATCTGACAAGGACTCATTTGAAGACAAATAGAGGTATCTACCATTTCCGTTTGTGGATTCATTCTCTCATTCCCCCAGCCTCGTTACCCTCTTGACTTTCAACAGTAAATGTAGCAAATAGTTCTTTTTGTTCATTGTGCGTGTGCAGCTGCAAGAACACGAACTTTTCTATAAAAAATTGTAATTTTTGTACATACTTTTTATATAAAATGTTTTTAGTAAATACTTATTTTGTCTTTTAATTATTACGCTTGTTCTTTTAAGGCTGCTGTAACAACATCTCACTTACTCTGATATCTTGACAGTGAGAGGTGTACGGGCCTGATCCAATTCTCAGTGAAGTCAGAGAGAGAGTTTCTCTATTGACTTCAGTGCAAGGCCCATAATGCATGTAATTTTGCAATACCATGACATAAGGAAGTTGCTTCCTGATCCCAGCTGGTAACCGGTTTCTGCCCTGAAGCACTGGATTGAAGAAAATTGAAAATCCTTGTATACCCAGAGACTGCTCAGTATTGAGAGCCTTTCTGGAGTGTCTCATTACCTTCCTGAAATAGGCTCATAATTTTAGCCATAGTTCTGGTAAACAGAGAATCTCTTCTTAGTCATATAAACATCTAACCCTTTCTATTATCAAACTGCAGCAGGGGACCCACTGAACTCATAGGACAGATTCTCTGGTCCTTGCACAGCATGTTGAGAGGGAGAAGGCAGACAGGAGCTCTTCAAAAGGGCAATGACAATTGTAACCCCAAATTAAAGGGGAGCACAGAGGACTGCTCAGCCCATGTGCCCCATGAGCAGACATTGCCCTACATTGTGAAATGGTGTGGAGGAGACTGGGCTTACTTCCCTCCTACCCCCACAATGTAGAATAGTGCACTTGGGGAACAAAATGTGCATTTGTACTCTGCGCTGGGAAGTCTGAGTAAGGATGGTACCTCCTGGAGATGCCATCCCACAACAGTTTCCCCTAGGCAGGTAAGGTCCACACCAGCCCTACCAGGGCAGTGCCTACATAGTACAACTTTTTTATTGCACTGGGTCCTAGAGACCTCAGCCCTATGTGCCAGGCACTGTACAAATATAACAAAGAGCTGGTCCCTGCCCCAGTGAGTTTACAATCTAAATAAATTCACCACAATGTTTGTTTTATTCCCTGTTCGAGTAAAGGACACCCCTCAAACAGTGGTAATAAGCAAGGTCACAATCCTGCAAGTTGATCCATGTGCCTGGAGCTCAGCACCCATGCAGACCCCCATTAAAGCAAAAAGCAGGAATCTGCCAGAACGGCTCATCTTGTAGCATTGGTGCCCAAGATGGTAATGACACCCACAGAACATGCCTTCAAAATATTTTATGTGTGTGGCCTTTTATTTAATTAAGGGTTTCTTCTTCTTGGTATTGTTATGGGAAAGGATACATAGGATCAGCTAATTGACCCTCACTATATACTTCACTTGACCTTCGCCATATTAAATTACATTATTATTTATATTGCTGTAGCATCCAGAAGTCCCAAACAGGCCTCACTGTGCTAGGTGCTGTACAAACATGTAAAAAAGCATAGTCCCCACCCGGAAGTTTTAAATCTCATGCGTGCTTTTAGATTTAAACCAATCTCTAAATATTAGGGATGAAGAGGAGACCTAATGTGAGGAGATTATTCCACATTGCTTTCAGGTGAGATTTTTGCATCTTCCTCTAAAACATCTGATACCTGCCACTCTCAGAGAGAGGATACTGTACTAGTGGGGCCATGGTTCTAATCCAGTATGGCAATTCCTATACTCCAGAAGAGCATACAGCTGAAGAGGTTACTGTCTAATTTGTCCTACTCTCAGATCTGTAATATAGAAGCCTCTAATCATTTTCATTGCCCT